GTATATGTATGTATGGGTATTCGTGTGAATGTGAGTGATATTTTGATACAGTTGCTACTATTCATGCAATAAGAGAACGCATATGCTGGGGTCGAGAGCTTCACACCCACACACTCACGCCAAACACCGATATAGGGGATCCGTCGAATACTGAATACACGTTTAGGGTTTAGGTTTTAGTGTTTAGAGTTTAGGGTTCAACTTCAACTTCCGATCACCTCCATTCCAAATATAGAAGGCGTAAAGAACTGCGTGCGGCTGACACTTTTGGCGGGATTTCGGAACGTGACCAAAATCACACCAGACTTTGGCGTGTTTGTGCAAAGCCTGAGGTACTCGCCCATTCTAAAAATAACCACCAATGGGAATATGGTATACCGTGAAAGGCCGTACTCGTTTGCTGAAGTCCGGTCCATGCCTTTGAAGTCGCACACGACCGTAACCATGGAAACGAAGCCGAAGTAAGTTCTTAATCTATGAATGTATATATGTATATGTGACTATCAGTTCTGGGTTGCACCTCTATCTGCATGCGTGATGTTGTGCCAAGGTTGCATCCGTTCGCCTATGTGTCCACAAGCATGACGGTGAATAAGCGTTATACTCGGAACGTTTAAGTGTACACCCTTTCATACAGATGTGTTGTGTGTAGCGTATATATCATTATACACCTTCACATACACTCACACCTAAAAGAAACGTACACTCACTAAGGAGCCCATACACGATTGTACGCGCGTGTATATGTATACATGCGCACACATGGACACACTCATACAGACGCAACCATGATTTCAAACACGTGCATACCCATACAGACGTAACCATGTTTTCAAGCACGTGCACACCCATACAGACGTAACCATGTTTTCAAACACGTGCACACCCATACAGACGTGTACATGTTCTCAAACACGTGCACACTCATACAGACGTAACCATGTCTTCAAACACGTGCACACCCATACAGACGTAACCATGTTTTAAAACACGTGCACACCCATACAGACGTAACCATGTTTTCAAACACGTGCACACCCATACAGACGTAACCATGTTTTAAAACACGTGCACACCCATACAGACGTAACTATGTTTTCAAACACGTGCACACCCATACAGACGTAACCATGTTTTCAAACACGTGCACACCCATACAGACGCAATCATGTTTTAAAACACGTACACGCCCATACAGACGCAACCATGTTTTAAAACACGTATACGCCCATACAGACGAAACCATGTTTTCACACACATACACATTCATTTGTACGAATGCACACACATGTTATACTCATGCGTGCACATATGCTTCTGATTGTCTTCAGTATGGACGTAGATGGCGATTGCGACCAGAACGAGCTGAAAGTGGCACACGCGTACGTTTATTATGCGCAGGGCATCTACGTAGACACGCCAGCACATACGCCAATGGGTCTAACCTGCACAACAATGGCTCAGGCTGTGGGAGGACAGAAGTGGGTATGTTCTACTCATGCATGCAGGCATAAGTGTATGTATGCATGTATGTATGTATGTATGCCTGTATGCATGGACGTATAGTCTGATGAGGATTTACTGTGTGTTAGTAGGTTGTAGGTAAGTGTCGCATTTGCTGGTTTCAGACGACAAGCGTCTTTGTCAAATGTCCTCACTTAGTCAGTGTGTAGCACATGCGTAGTCACATCGAATCACTTGGAAGTGCACAACGGAAACTATAGCGCTTTCAGTTCTCAGGGTGTTTTGTAACTATCTATCAATGTCACATGAACAGTCTTGAGCCGTTCATCCGTATGAAGTATTTTAATATAGCTGCTTATATCCGCTGTATTACTCAGGTGTATGGAGCGTGTCAATATAGTGTTTAGTACACCTACTTATTTCCGCCGTACCACTCAGGTGTATGGGCATACCGACTGTCCCACCTACCATGCTTTAGTGGCTCCAGCCATTGGCGACGCAGGCCCTCGGAAAGAAGAAGAGGAACGGCCGAAGAACGCATGTTTTAACTGCGATTCTGTCGACCATGCGTATGTCATATGTGCATGTGCATGATGGTGTGTGTATCCATGCGTATGTCATGTGTGTGTATCTTGCATCAACTGTGATTCTATGGTCTGTGCATGTATGTTGTATACATTTGCATTGTAATGTGTGCATACGAATAAGAATATCCCATGCATCACCTGTGATTCTATGGTCTATGCATATGTTATGTGTGCATGTGCATGATGTGTATACAGACGTATAAGAATATCCATGCATCACCTGTGATTCCATGGTATATGCATATGTGTTGTGTGCTTGTGCATATAGGTGTGTGTAGCTCATGCGTGCAATTCTTTCTTATTTTTGATGCTATTGATTATCCGTATATATTGTGTGCACATGCATGGATGGGTGCTCGTGCCACACAAAAGCGTTCAAACGGCTGTATTATTAGTGTCAATACAGTTATTATATTATATGTTCTTCTACCCATAGCGTGCGGAGTAGCGATGATACGGTATATACACTTTCTACGCAAAGATATTTACCAGCCATGCATCCTCTCGTTCACATATGTAGATAGTAATACCCTATGCTCGCCTACCTACCATGCGTAGCCCATCGGTCGCTCCCTAGGACACGCTCTCGTGCTCATCCCCTCAAAAGTGTGCGTTACTGTCCACAGCCATCTGTCCTGTACTTATCCTCGTTCACTTCATCTATACGTAGCAACACTCTACACTTCCCAACACGCGTTCATTACATCCCTAGACCCCCCCCCCCATCCTTCCTCTTTGCCTCCTTGACACGGTGTTACTTTTAACCTGGTAACAGTGTACGGGACTGTCACGAGCCCCGTGACCCTGAACGCATCGCTCGGTTGTCACAGGAGATGCGTGCACGCATGGGCAACAGCACACGCCGATACCACGTAGACGACGACGAAAAGAAGTACAGGCACTTGGTCCCAGGAATTATTGGTACGTTTAGAAAGTGTTTGTACG